ATGTTAGAGCATCCAAGTAGTGCAATATTTCCATCAAATAATTAAAGGTCTGTATTCTATTGTAGGGCCCACAAGACAACAAGAGCGGTGGTGGAGCGTGGCATAGGCCAGCTTAAGAGGCGCTTTCATGTTCTCCACGGAGAGGTGCGGCTGAGGCCTGAAAAAGTCAGCAAACTCATCATAGCCTGTGCAATATTACACAATATTTGCAAGGTTAGACAGATTGCAGAACCTCTGGAGGATGGCGATGAGGATGAGGATGGAGACAACGATGAGGATGGTGGTGAAGAAGATATTCACATTCCACAGGGGAACCTAGCCCAGAGTGGACTGCCTTACAGGGCAAACTTCACAAATTTACATTTCAGGCAAGCTGTAGCCCCATGTCATTTGAGAACTTGTGATGGTATTAAGAACTACCACAGTTTTACTGCACATCACCTGCAACTGTTAAATGCAAGACACAGAACACAATCTCTAAATGGTTTATTTTTTAGGTGTTCAATTTTAAGGCGGTAGTACTCCTCCTGAAGGGAAAGGACTTTTTTTTGTTGTTCAAACACATCAATTGTGAGTTGCAATCTTCTCTCCTGCAGGGATGCTGACGGAGCAGGTGCTGCGGATGGGAATGGTGTTTGATCCGCCGGGCTATCCTGAGTAGCAGCTGCAGATGGTTCAGGCGGCAAACTTGATGGGCCCGGTTCTTGTGATGGCTCCATGCTACAGAAATACATAGGCCTAGTTTAATTATTGTTTTGATTAAATTAATTTAATACAATGAGCATGGATAACACATGAAATGGCTTCTGCAATGAATAAACACTGTTGATATGAATAACCCTGTGTCCTACCTTTGCTGCATTTCAAGGGCCTGCATCATTGACGTGTCAATGCCTGTTGGCAGCCCGGTGACACTGACCTCAGAGTGTCCCAGGACTTGAAAGACAGTGTCGGCCACCTGGGACAGCCGCTTTGCAGGTGGTCCACCCCCTAGAAAGAAACAGTCAATGAACACAGTACTTAGGCATGTAAATTAACTTTGCCAGCAGGAGCAAATTGCCAGATTATGTGGTAGGCCATAGTATTTTGCTCACCTGTGAGTGAGGATTCCCGCTTGTGTGCTGCAATCTCATCTTTTGCCTTGGACTGCAGCACATACCACCTTTTCTCACAATCGTCGCCTGTCCGCACCACCAGTGGAAAAGAGGCATTGATTGTTTGGGATATTGTGTCCCAGGCGCGCCTCTTGCCTTGGCTAGTGACAGTTGGGCCAAATTTTCCTCGTAACATACCTTTATGTTCGTTCACCAACTGGGCCAGCAACAAACCTTGCTCCTCAGTCCAGTTCGGCTTGCGATTCCTTTTTTTCTCCATTTTCTGTGTTTGTAGGATATTTGTTAACAAGCCTTCATAAATAGACCAGCCAGCAATCACAGACATTGTTAAAAGCTGAGCTGTGTTACCCTCGTTAAGTTCACACTGAGTTGTAACGTTGCAATTTCTACTTCATTAAGGACAGCCCCTTGAGATAGGCCATCTTGTTTTCAATGGGGTCCATATGGAAGTGAAAGTACAAAATATGCCAGCTAGGATATTAATATGAGCAAATGAGACACAAATCATTATTTGAACAGGGTGTAATGAGCTTAAGTTTTCACATATTTTAGATTCTAATGTTAGGCTATAACCCCTACAGCTTACTATTCATTTTCCAGATATTTTCTTGAATGTGAAATATTATTTACAATTATAGTCTGCATAAGATTAGAGTGTATAATTATGTTTATTGATTTGAGGGTACATCCTTTGCTCATTATCACCAAAAGTTCATTTTCATCAAACTTGTAGGATCAACCAATCACGGCTTTTGAAATGATGACTCATACCTAGCAACGGGGTCAACCACACCTCCTCACTAAGATAGGATTTTTCATCCATTCCTGGCTCAGAGTTCACTGAAAATGTTCTGGAATCACTTCTAAGCTAAAACTCCTGGCAAGGAATTTTTAGGTTAAGTTAGGAGCTCTCTGAGAGGATTCTCAGAATCTTTAAGGATACGGGCCCAGATCTCAACCCCATAGAAAATCTTTGGAGGGAGTTGAAAGTCCGTGTTGCCCAGCGACAGACCCAAAACATCACTGCTCTAGAGGAGATCTGCATGGAGGAATGGGCCAAAATACCAGCAACAGTGTGTGAAAACCTTGTGAAGACTTACAGAAAACGTTTGACCTGTGTCATTGCCAACAAAGGGTATATAACAAAGTATTGAGAAACTTTTGTTATTGACCAAATACTTATTTTCCACCATAATTTGCAAATAAATTCATAAAAAATCCTACAATGTGATTTTCTGTATTGTTTTTCCTCATTTTGTCTGTCATAGTTGACGTGTACCTATGATGAAAATTACAGGCCTCTCTTATCTTTTTAAGTGGGAGAACTTGCACAATTGGTGGCTGACTAAATACTTTTTTCCCCCACTGTATATAATTTTATGAGTCACGCCACTAATAAGATACAGAAGCCCCACTTAGAGAAATGCACGTAGCCTCGTGAATAGCCAACATGTGATACTGAAAGATGTTTTAAAGAGCAAAGTGACTTTCAATGTGGCACCATCATAGGATGCCACCTTTCCAACAAGTCAGTTCGTCAAATTTCTGAGACATAAAATTTCTGCCCTGCTAGAGCTGCCCCGGTCAACTGTGTGCTGTTATTGTGAAGTAAAAATGTCTACGAGCAACAGCGGCTCAGCTGTAAAGTGGTAGGCCACACAAGCTCACAGAACTGGACTGCCGAGTGCTGAAGTGCGTAATTCCGTCTGTCCTCGGTTGCAACTGTCATGGAAATTCAACACAAGGACACTCAAAGTCAATCTTAAATGAATACTTTTTTATTGTTAGCAAGCTGGAGAGGTCACAGTCAAACTTAGATGCATAAAGTGCCGGTCTGAAGTGATGGTCCTTTCATAATGCCTTATACGGCTACACAAAAACCTACATAAACATGATTCATACGATTGGTTCCTGCATGTGACTGGCACCATCTCCTATCTTAACTTATAGAACATATTCTGGGCATTCTGCCAGATGGTCTTAAGGAAGGGGTCATGACGTCCCCCCCCCCTACCTTTTAATGTAGTTTTAGCGATTTTGTAATATTTATTTCTATTTTAATACAAATTCATTTAAATTGACTTGCTGAAATTCAAAAGACATGTCCCTCAGAGGTTCACAGATCAGGTATCTTTCCCCGGGCAGCTCTCAGTAAAAGTCTGGTCTGGGCGGGTCCACGTCGTCTTTGTTCAGATGGGAAATTTCCTTTCCCACTATGGAATGCGGCACCGGTGTCTCCTTCGCAGACCTTCACTGGGATGCTCCACAAGTGGAATCACTGACCCAGTTTGTGACGCCAAATTGTCATGGAAATTCAACGCAGGGACACTCGATTGTCAATCTTAAATGAATGCATAAAGTACCAGTCTGAAGTGAGCTCTGAAGCTACACAAAAACATGGTTCATAGGATTGCTTCCTGCATGTGACTGGCGCCGTCTCCTATCTTAACTTATAGAACATAATCTGGGCGTTCTGCCAGATGGTCTTAAGGAAGGGGTCATGACGTCCCCCCTTATATCTTTACCCAGCACAGGCAGGAACCAATGATTGTTTATGACAGAGTGGACAATATGAACATTTTCAAGGCTGTCCCTCCAGACTATATATTTTTCCTCCACATTCCCCCCTCTTATCACTTCTATGATAATAATTGTTCAAATGTAATGTGTATGACTTAAATCAAAGGAGGCTCTATCAAAATACATTACATATTTAATTAATTATAATACTATCATCATAATAAATCATAATAAATGTTATCCTTCTATTAACAGGAGCGAATCTAATTTAATTCATAATCATCATCATTAAGCTCAAATCTACAATAAGGTTATACTTTTATCAACGAGAGTGGATCTATCAAAATTACACAAACATACACAAGGGTTCTGTAGATTCAGAGGTGAATAAATCTCTCAAGGTTTAACCATTGTTTCCATAGTTACTTACCACAATCAGATTGTATTGACATATGTTCTGCATTAATGTATCACGGCAACTGGTTTGATACATTCACCTCTGAAGATAAATAAGGTACTTATATTCAGTAATATTGCTCTGATTTGTCATCCTAAGGGTCCCAGAGATAAAATGTAACATAGTTTTGTTTGATAAAATCAATTTTTATATTCAAATGTAGGAACTGGGTTCTACAGTTTGAACTCCTGCTGTCTCTGGCTCCACACCCACCCCGCCCGGCCATCTAGATTTGTGAAAGTTAGTGTATAAGCTAATGATCCATCATGTATGACATTCCTGGGAGTGTGTAAACTTACATTTTGTAAAACCATATAATTTTTGAATGTTCTCTATAGTTATGTACTTAAAAATGTATAAATTGACCAATTCGGCACATTTGGGCAGACTTGATACAAAATAGTCCAGTATTGCAATGCTTCACTGGATCAATCGGAAACTTTGCACAAATATTGCTGCCATCTAGTGGCCAAAATCTAAACTGCACCTAAACTGCAATATTATATTGTGGCCTTTCTCTTGCATTTCAAAGTTGATGGAACAAAACAAAAAATATAAAACACATGACAGCTGTTGAGATCTTATAAGCCCTGGAGGTACTGATAGCATTATAGCATGTTAATAACACAACATAGCAAACTAAGCAAATGCATGCTGCAGCCCATTGGGCAATTTGGGATCACCAACTTCCAAACAGGGATTCCAACCAAGTTGCAAGCATCCACTCTGGTTTTGGGGAATTATTCTTAGCAAATAGTGGCAATGTTTTCTGGAAGATCAGTCACATTAGAAGAGTGATCTGGGAGTACAAAAGTACAACATTCATCACCAATGTCTGCACAAGTGCCCCCTTGACCTGCCAGAATATAGTCAAGAGCCTCTCTGTTTTGCAGAGCTAACTTAAGCAATTATTTTAGTTCCCCATTCAATTGTTCCAGGGCATTTCTAGTAGCGTTGACAAATGTCTCTATGTGTCTAGAGATGTCAGGCATTTGGTCTAGGGCACATGCAAGTCCAGAAAAAAACACCCCAAAGAACCTGGAGGCTGGTGCCTGAGTGTGAGTGACGTCAGCTAGAGACCTCTTATCTCTCCTCATTCCAGGAAGTTTGTAGTCTATAAACAGAGCCTTCAGATCCTTTTCATTATCTGGAACGGTTCTCATAGCTGTCACCAAAAACCCAACAGTACAAGTACCTCCCCAGTTCGATGGAAGGCTATAGTAAGCCATCTTACCACATAGCCAATAGGTGCCATTCGGGGCTCCTTTCAGAGTTGTGCTATGTTTGTCAACCCAAATTTTAAATGGTTCCTTATAGGCCTGACCATTCTCCTGTATCACTGTTATATTGCAAGGATTTGATCCATTAAGATTCATAGTACAATTACATTTCAATTCACCCAAATTGTGATCTCCATATCCTCTAATACTCCAAGGGGCAGTCATCACCCCAGCCACTGAAATGGGCGGCAGTGAGACATTACCAGGCCTTTGGTAATAGGATACATTGGGTTAATTATGTACCTTAACATTGCTGGTCATAGTATTAAAATGAATTTTTCCTGCCAATGCTATAGTAAAGTTCACCCCTATTGGGACTCCTAAAAGGGGCAAGCCTGCCCCTACCTTAACCGGACCCATCCCACACACCCAACAGTCCTTTTCTTTGGATGTCAGGTTGGCAACCATTTCTGCTCTAGATAAGAACAAATTGTCCTCATGGTTGTGAGGGCCCAGCAGGGTTCTCCTTCTACAATGACCATCTACTTCTGGGCCACTACTCCAGGCCTGCATTGGTTCCTTTGGCTCAGGACTTCTTCTGTCATTACCATCTACTTCTGGGCCACTACTCTGGGACTGTGTTGGCCCCTTTGGCTCGGGACTCTTCTCATCCTCTGTCAGGTTTCCCACAAGAGGACAACCTACTGTTCTTATTAGCACTACTGTGCTAATACAGAGGAGGGCCACACTGCACCACCGGAACTGGCGAGGCCCCATCTTCTTCTGGATCAGGAACTCGTCTGCAGTGCGACAGGTGGGTCCAGGTATCTCTCTCAGCAACCTTCACCGCAGTGGGGGTGGTCAGAAGACCTTGGTACGGGCCTCTCCACAGGGGTCCTTCCAACTATTTCTCCTGAAGTCTTTCACCACCATGAAATCACCTGGGTTCAAATAGTGTTCAGCTCCATCTGCTAGATTTAGCAAAGACGCCTTCAACTGGGGGGAAAAGAGTCTTAAGAACACTGTTAAGGGTGACACAACACTCAACCAAGCCTTCCTCCATTTCTTGCAAGGACAACCTGTTCTGGGAAAAAGGTGTATTTGTCATCCGCATGAGACGGCCAGTCAGCACCTCATGTGGAGAGAGACCAGTGACTGTAGGGGATCTGCCTCTCATCGTCATCAGTGACAATGGAAGCACTTTCACCCATGTCAGGCTTGTTTCACCAATTAATTTGGTTAATTTAGTTTTCAAAGATTGGTTCATCCTTTCCACTGCGCCCCCAGATTGGGAATGATAGGCACAATGTGTTCTCAAATCAATCTGCAAAGTCTCTGACAGGGACTGAACAATCTCATTCACAAACTGTCGATCATTGTCAGAATACATGTTTGATGGCAGTCCCCACCTAGGTATGATCTCTCTCTTGCTGTGGCTCTCCTGCAAGGGAAAGTTTCAATCCATTTAGAAAATATGTCAACAGTCACCAAACAATACTTATTCCCCTCACAAGGGGTCAACTCAATGAACTCCATCATTAACTGCTCAAAAGGTCCTTCAGGCCTTGGATGGGATGCGGGAGATACTGAAATGCTGCGTCCAACATTGTTAGTCATACAAATTAAGCATGTCTTACTGAAATTTCCTGCAAACACAGTAAAACCTACTGTACCCCAATATTTATTTACAAGATCCACCATCCCTCCTTTTGACACATGGTCTTGACCATGTGACAATTTTGCGAGGAACTGGAATGTACAATGGGGCATGGCAGGTCTGCTCCACACATCAAGCCATACACACGAGGTGTCCTTATGACAGCACCCCGCCCACTTGAGTTTCTGAAAGCATCAGCCATGGCCTGTAAAGCAATGATATCATTAACAGAGAAAGGGTTGGTGGGAGCTGGAAATGCTGCCATCTGTAGGAAGGGGGAAACAGAAGAAGAAGCATACAATTTAGCAGCACAGTCAGCCTTGGCATTCCCCAGAGAAATGTTATCCTTAGAGGGAGAATGGGCCTGACACTTTATCACCGAGATTGACGAGGGGAGTTGAACAGCCTCCAACAGAGAGGACACAAGTTTCATCAGTCCAGACCACAACTTCACTCGCCTCCATCTTTCTCCCATAAATACAATCCTGCAGTGGTTGAACTATCTCTGCATAGTCTTTCAACCACGGACGACAGTAACCAGCCACACCCAACAAAGACATAATGTGCTGCTTGGTAACAGGTTTAGGCAAAACTTTAATTGCATCTAATCTATCTTTGGAGAGGGCGCGACCCTCAGAAATAATGTCATGACCCAAATATTTAACGGAGCTCTGGAATAACTGCATATTACTGGAGGAAACTTTATGACAATTTTCTGCTAAGAAAATCAACAATGCCTGAGTGTCCTCGTGACATATCTCCTCTGATTTTGAGCAAACCAACAAATCATCAAAATATTGAACCAAAATGCTTCCACCAGGGGCAACAAAACCCTTTAGGTTCCTAGCCATTTCTTGGGCAAAGATGGCATATGATTGAACATAACCCTGGGACATCACCGTCCAAGTCCATTTGTTTTACCAAGAAACGTAAACGAGAACCACTCCTGTTACTCTTCAGCCAAAGGGATACTGAAAAAAGCATTTGCCAAATCAATCACCGAAAAACAACTACCTGGAGGCACCTGGAATAAAATGGTACTAGTGTTTGGCACCAGGGGTGCTCTAGCAAGTAATGCATCATTTACTAGTCTAAGGTCTTGCACAACACGATAATCACCAGATGGTTTCCTAACAGGTAAAATTGGTGTGTTTCATGCGTCCAATGTCGGTCTTTGATTTTACCCACAGTTTTTCAGGTATATATTTTAGCCAATCAATGTGTGAATTATTTTGTAATACCACAGGCATGGTTTCAATGGGAATTGGTTATTTTCTTGGTAATGTCATTGCAGTAGCCCAGTATGGGGAATAGAAAGTTGCTGTTGAAGCTGACCACTTTCCTTCTCCTTCCCAAGACACCCAATCAGTTGCTTCCATCACTGTCTTTATCCAAACACCCACATCTTTCCATTGTTTTCCAGGAGCTTTTGATAAGCTACAATGGGGAACATACAGACTTGTCTTTGTATCCGTCAGCAACACTCCAGCTGCTACGAAGTCTTCTCCTCTGTATATCCCATTCATGGTCATCTCAACTTTCTCTTTTTGGTTTAACCATCTCTGTTGGTATTCAGGGTCCTCTTCACATAAGGGAACAGCAGCAGTACAATGTAGGTGTTCAGAAACTTCCCAGTTAGCATGCAACGGGGAAGAGAGAGATTGCTCTCTCAGCTGTCCCTCAACATGTTGATCATTCAAGTGCCAAGCATAGGAACAGGTAATTAGGCACAGGAAGATTACATTTTCTCTCGATCCCAATGACAATCTCTCTTCAGTACAGGCAACAGACAAATTAATTTAACGCATCAAATCTCTTCCTAATACATTTACCGGGCAGGCAGATGAATATAGGAATCGGTGTCTCAATTATCCCTCACCCCACACCACATCCTGGGGAAAGGTCAAACTTTCTTCAGAGGGAATTCCAGATGCTCCAACTGTGTGTATTGTTTTCTTTGAGGGAAGAACAGATAGGGCAGACATTTTCAACACTGAGACCCCAGTCCCCAGTGTCCACCAAAAATTGAATTTTATAGTTATTAACTAAAATGTCAATAAGGGGGTTTTGGGTTGACATGGTGGTCCATTTTAACATTTGACAGGTTTCTTCTGGTTCTTCATCAATGTTTTCTTCATTAGTTTCTTATTCTGTTTAAACCTCATCCTATGTTTGGTAGCCCCCTCGTCTTCCAAATGGGTTGTCCACCTGTACGCCAACAGGTGGGGAAGGCCAATCGTTTAGTTGTTCTCCTCCTTCAGGACAGTTTCTTGAGAAATGCCCTAACTTCCCACAGTTGTAGCAGCTCCAGTCTCTCCCTCCGTCAGCTCCAACAGGTACCTCTGCCTCTTCGGTTTCCACAGTTACCACCATTTCTTCAATGTCCTCTTCCTCCTCCAGAGTAGTACATCAGCTGTGCCTTCTTCAGTGTCTTTCCGTCCTTAGTTTCATTTTCATTCAACTGTCTTTCCTCATGGGTGATATATGGCTTTACATCAGGCAGTGGTTTAGTTTCCCATGCAATACAAGTTGTTGTTACAGCTGTCTTCAAATCTTGTCTCAGGCTGGTTACCACAGCATGGCACAATAGGCTGTTGTATGAGTCTTGGTCAGGCGTCAGGCCTGAGTGTTGGAGGAAGACTGGCTCCATTCTTTCCATGTAGACACTCAATGTTTCATCAGTTCTCTGTTTAGTGGAATGGATTTTCTGCCAGTCTGTGTGTTTAGGGAAAGCAGCCTTTATAGCGGTAAACACTGCATCCAGCCGCCAGTACATCACGGTTCCACATGTGTTTATAGTCCTTCCATTTACATTTCAAGCAGCAGCAGAGTATTTCTTCAATTTCTCTGGTAGTGGGGTTGTACATGGAGTTATTTGCTCTTAGCTATTCTTCGAACTTTACAGCATCTTTTGCTGGGTCAGTGACATCACCCACTATTTCTTTAATTTCGTCAACATCCCACGGTCTCTCCATTTCCAACATGCCACCACCATTGGGGTAGCGTATTATCGGACACATTCCAGGGGCTTTTTCTCCTTTTTCCAATTTTTTCAGTTTTTGTCCTGGCTGCTCGATTTATTTTAATCTTTGTCTTGGCTTCGCTGAGGTCATTGTTCCTGCATGCGCTCCTTCATTTGTCTCTTGTTTTTCTACATTCTCTCTTCTCTTTTTGTCTCGTACGTTTCTCCAGTTCGTTTCTGAGTTCCTCTAGTGCTTCTTCTTCACTCTCTCTCTCCTCCGTTCTTCTCAGCTCGTTTGCTCTGGTTCTTGTTTTTGCTGGTAGCCTTCTATCTTCCGTTCCAGCACCCTCTGCAGCTCCTCTGACAGCTCCTATTCCCCCGGCTCGTCCACCGGGCACAGGCCCAACCCCAAGTGGGTTGTGAGGGGGTGGGAGGCCAACATTTCCATCCACTGGTGGAGGATTTGGCAGTGGTGGATACCAGGGGGGCCCAAAGTTAAGGTTCCCCTTGGAGAAGGGCCAGCCAGGCTTCTTCTTCTTCTCTTCATCCTCCTCTTTCTTCTCTGGTAATACCACTTGTTTTACCATCAGTCCTCTTATAACTTTATCTTTTGCATTTTCTGCTTCCCTTTCCCATTTTCTGAAATCGTCTCCTCTCTCCTTTCATCTCTTCACATACATAATAACACTTCACTTTCACTTTATCGTTCTGTCTCTCTTTTCTCTCAAGTTGGCTTCTCACATCCTCCAGTTTAGCGGTGTCCATTTGGTCCAATCTTCTGTTTGGTTCTGTGCACAAACTAAATTTCTTAGGCATTACTTAACACGTCCGCTTTGGTTCCACTAGTGTTCTATTCATACAAGGGTTTAGATATTCTACACTAGTGTTCTTTTCATACAGCATATTCAGTAATAGTACTCTCTCCTTTCATCTCTTCACATACGTAAAAACTGAGACATGTTATCCTCTAATTAGACATGTTATCCTCTGGTGAGACATGTTATCCTCTAATGAGACATGTTATCCTCTAATGAGACATGATATCCTCTGGTGAGACATGTTATCCTCTGGTGAGACATGTTATCCTCTCTACCTATAGGTCCGACGGGCAGTGGTGGACAGAACCCGTAGATATCGTTATATATATCATCCAGACGCACCTCTTTCACACCGGAGCAGGTCACCTGACAGCTCTCATTCACTCAGTACTTAATAGTATTATTTGTTTTATCATCCAAATTTCCATCCTCTTATTATCTGCATTTCAATCACTTAACCTGTCATTTCAACACTCACACAACTCTCACATCAAATCAAATCAAATCACATTTTAATGGTCACATACACATGTTTAGCAGATGTTATTCTGGGTGTAGCGAAATGCTTGTGTTTCTAGCACCAACAGTGCAGTAATATCTAACAAGTACTATCTAACAATTTCACAACAATACACACAATACACACTAATCTAAAGTAAAGGAATGGAATTATGAATATATAAATATTTGGACGAGCAATGTCAGAGAGGCATAGACTAAAATACAGTAGAATAGAATAGAACACAGTATATACATACGAGATGAGTAATGCAAAATATGTAAACATTATTAAAGTGACTAGTGTTCCATTATTAAAGTGACCAGTGATTTCAAGTCTATGTAAATAGGGCAGCAGCCTCTAAGGTGCTAGTGATGGCTATTTAACAGTCTGATGGCCTTGAGATAGAAGCTGTTCTTCAGTCTCTCGGTCCCAGCTTTGATGCACCTGTACTGACCTCGGCTTCTGGATGATAGCGGGGTGAACAGGCAGTGGCTCGGGTGGTTGTTGTCCTTGATGATCTTTTTGGCCTTCCTATGACATCGGGTGTTGTAGGTGTCCTGGAGGGCAGGTAGTTTACCCCCAGTGATGCGTTGGGCAGACCGCACAACCCTCTGGAGAGCCCTGCGGTTGCAGGTGGTGCAGTTGCCAAACCAGGTGGTGATACTGCCCAACAGGATGCTCTCAATTGTGCATCTGTAAAAGTCTGTGAGGGTTTTAGGTGCCAAGCCAAATTTCTTCAGCCCCCCGAGGTTGAAGAGGCGCTGTTGTGCCTTCTTCACCACACTGTCTGTGTGGATGGACCATTTCAGTTTGTCAGTGATGTGTACGCCGAGGAACTTGAAGCTTTTCACCTTCTCCACTGTGGTCCCGTCGATGTGGATAGGTGGGTGCTCCCTCTGCTGTTTCCTGAAGTCCACGATCAGCTACTTTGTTTTGTTGACGTTGAGTGAGAGGTTATTTTCCTGGCACCACACTCCCAGGGCCCTCACCTCCTCCCTGTAGGCTGACTCGTCATTGTTGGTAATCAGGCCTACTACTGTTGTGTCGTCTGCAAACTTGATGATTGAGTTGGAGGCGTGTGTGGCCAGGCAGTTATGGGTGAACAGGGAGTACAGAAGGGGGCTGAGCACGCACGGGGCGATAGTCATTTAGTTCAGTTACAATTGCTTTCTTGGGTACAGGAACAATGGTGGACATCTTGAAGCATGAGGGGACAGCAGACTGGGATAGGGAGATTTAGAATATGTCCGTAAACACTCCAGCCAGCTGGTCTGCGTTCTTCACTTAGTACTATTCCCAAACACACTCAGTATTCTCCCATAGTACTCCATGTGCACCTTCAACAATTATATTGTTGTTACTTGCTATGCAACATATGTATCTTCAATGGTTCTCTTGCCAGTACTTGCTATACATATACAATAACACCTTGTGCTATTATCAGTGGCTGCAGACCACGTAGACTCTTCTCATAAATGCCTACAGACGGCTGTCAGCGGGGCTTCTCCATGGTACCGTTACTTACCCTCACTCTAGTCTTCTGTATAAGACTAGTGAATAGCCTTCTCACAAGACTATGGGCACCTTTTAATGTAGTTTTAGCGATTTTGTAATATTTATTTCTATTTTAATACAAATTCATTAAAATTGACTTGCTGAAATTCAAAAGACATGTCCCTCAGAGGTTCACAGATCAGGTATATTTCCCCGGGCAGCTCTCAGTAAAAGTCTGGTCTGGGCGGGTCCACGTCGTCTTTGTTCAGATGGGAAATGTCCTTTCCCACTATGGAATGCGGCACCGGTGTCTCCTTCGCAGACCTTCACTGGGATGCTCCACAAGTGGAATCACTGACCCAGTTTGTGACGCCAAATTGTCATGGAAATTCAACGCAGGGACACTCGATTGTCAATCTTAAATGAATGCATAAAGTATCAGTCTGAAGTGAGCTCTGAAGCTACACAAAAACATGGTTCATAGGATTGCTTCCTGCATGTGACTGGCGCCGGATGGTCTTAAGGAAGGGGTCATGACGTCCCCCCTTATATCTTTACCCAGCACACGCAGGAATCAATGATTGTTTATGACAGAGTGGACAAGATTAACATTTTCAAGGCTGTCCCTCCAGACTATACATTTTTCCTCCACACAACACTCAATACCGGGTACCAAACTGCCTCTGGAAGCAACGTCAGCACAAGAACTGTTAGTTGGGAGCCTCATGAAATAGGTTTCCATGGCCGAGCAGCTGCATACAAGCCTAAGATCACCATATGCAATGCCAAGCGTCAGCTGGAGTGGTGTAAAGCTCGCCGCCATTGGACCTGCAGTGGAAATGCATTCTCTGGAGTGATAAATCACGTTTCACCATCTGGCAGTCTGACGGACAAATCACTTACTGTCCGAATGCATAGTGCCAACTGTAAAGTTTGGTGGAGGAGGAATAATGGTCTGGGGCTGTTTTTCGTGGTTCGGGCTAGGTCCCTTAGTTCCAGTGAAGGGACATTTTAATGCTACAGCATACAATGACATTCTAGACAATTCTGTGCTTCCAACTTTGTGGCAACAGTTTGGGGAAGGCCCTTTCCTGTTTCAGCATGACAATGCCCCCATGCACAAAGAGAGGTCCATACAGAAATGGTTTGTCGAGATCAGTGTGGAAGAACTTACTGGCCTGCACAGAGCCCTGACCTCAACCCCATCTAACACCTTTGGGATGAATTGGAACGCCGACTGCGAGCCAGGCCTAATCGCCCAACATCATTGCCCGACCTCACTAATGCTCTTGTGGCTGAATGGAAGCAAGTCCCCTCAGCAATGATCCAACATCCAGTGGAAAGCCTTCCCAGAAGAGTGGAGGCTGTTATGACAGCAGGGGGGGGGGGGGGGGGGGGATAAGAAGAGTTTCACTTGATGGTTTCATTTCAGTGAAACAAATAATCATGTTTTTTTGCAAAATAATACGGCATCTGTAAGTGCATTCATCTTAAGCTAGCTAGGTGAGATAACCACATATCACGGTCAAATATACAGGATACGAACATTCCATTCCAGCTAAACAATGGATATATTGCAAAAAAATATATTTTCATTTACATCAAAAAATCTGAGAACAGTAATATTGAAGGTACCCATAAGCAATAATTTCTGATGAGAAAAACACGAATTGTGGATATAGCGTTTTGAAATATATTCTTAAACAACATCTCACCTCTTAGCTCTGGTGTCATGGTCCCCAGAGAGACTCATTTTCAAGCACTGAGCCCTAAACAGAGATCCAGCATGTTGGTTGTGGTTAACAGAGTGACAATTAATTATTCAATGTCAATTGTTCTCTTTTATTCATTCTCTCATAGAAATAATACATTTACTAAACAGACACATCCAAACAGTCAGGTGATTTAATGCAGTCCCATGAACATGTAGTCATGAATGATATTTTTCACGTCATCTTCATGTTAACTGTCAATAACAATAATTATAATAATTATATAATGTATCCTCTAATCAGACATGTTTGTTTAGGTAGTTATAGACAGTGCAGCAACACAAGGCTACATCCCTGTCAGCCCTCGAAAACAGAGATTACATTCAAAGATGAATAGCCTACAGTATAGGCTACATACAGTGGGGAGAACAAGTATTTGATACACTGCCGATGTTTCAGGTTTTCCTACTTACAAAGCATGTAGAGGTCTGTAATTTTTATCATAGGTACACTTCTGTGAGTGACGGAATCTAAAACAAAAATCCAGAAAATCACATTGTATGATTTTTAAGTAATTAATTTGCATTTTATTGCATGACATAAGTATTTGATCACCTACCAACCAGTGAGAATTCCGGCTCTCACAGACCTGTTTGTTTTTCTTTAAGAAGCCCTCCTGTTCTCCACTCATTACCTGTATTAACTGCACCTATTTGAACTCATTACCTTTATAAAAGACACCTGTCCACACACTCAATCAAACAGACTCCAACCTCTCCACAATGGCCAAGACCAGAGAGCTGTGTAAGGACATCAGGGATAAAATTGTAGACCTGCACAAGGCTGGGATGGGCTACAGGACAATAGGCAAGCAGCTTGGTGAGAAGGCAACAACTGTTGGCACAATTATTAGAAAATGGAAGAAGTTCAAGATGATGGTCAATCACCCTTGGTCTGGGGCTCCATGCAAGATCTCACCTCGTAGGGCATCAATGATCATGAGGAAGGTGAGGGATCAGCCCAGAACTACACGGCAGGACCTGGTCAATGACCTGAAGAGAGCTGGGACCACAGTCTCAAAGAAAACCATTAGTAACACACTACGCCGTCATGGATTAAAATCCTGCAGCGCACGCAAGGTCCCCCTGCTCAAGCCAGCGCATGTCCAGGCCCGTCTGAAGTTTGCCAATGACCATCTGGATGATCCAGAGGAGGAATGGGAGAAGGTCATGTGGTCTGATGAGACAAAAATAGAGCTTTTTGGTCTAAACTCCACTCGCCGTGTTTGGAGGAAGAAGAAGGATGAGTACAACCCCAAGAACCCATCCCAACCGTGAAGCATGGAGGTGGAAACATCATTCTTTGGGGATGCTTTTCTGCAAAGGGGACAGGACGACTGCACCGTATTGAGGGGAGGATGGATGGGGCCATGTATCGCGAGATCTTGGCCAACAACCTCCTTTCCTCAGTAAGAGCATTGAAGATGGGTCGTGGCTGGGTCTTCCAGCATGACAACGACCCGAAACACACAGCCAGGGCAACTAAGGAGTGGCTCCATAAGAAGCATCTCAAAGGTCCTGGAGTGGCCTAGCCAGTCTCCAGACCTGAACCCAATAGAAAATATTTGGAGGGAGCTGAAAGTCCGTATTGCACAGCGACAGCCCCGAAACCTGAAGAATCTGGAGAAGGTCTGTATGGAGGAGTGGGCCAAAATCCCTGCTGCAGTGTGTGCAAACCTGGTCAAGACCTACAGGAAACGTATGATCTCTGTAATTGCAAACAAAGGTTTCTGTACCAAATATTATGTTCTGATTTTCTGATGTATCAAATACTTATGTCATGTTCTCCTACCCTCTCTCCTTATAGCTCTTACAATGTGCCTTGGCATACATTCTACAAGTGACTGGAATTCTATTGGAGGGATGTGGAATCATTCTTCCACAAGAAATTCCATCATTTGGTGTTTTGTTGATGGTGGTGGAAGACGTTGTTTCAGGCCCCCCTCCAGAATCTCCTATAGGCGTTCAATTGGGTTGAGACCTGGTGACTGAGACGGCCATGGCACATTGTGAAACATCGGCAAGTTCAGCAGTCTTCATCACTGAAGCTCCTGCCAAACGTGCCCCAACAATCACCAATCGATAAGCTCTTCCCGAGCAGGGTCGCAGTCTCTCTTCATTGCAGCCCCTTTTTCCCCAGGGGTAGCAGCTCCTCTCTCCCCAGGGGTATCAGCTCCTCTCTCCCCAGGGGTAGCAGCTCCTCTCTCCCCAGGGGTAGCAGCTCATCTCTCCCCAGGGGTAACAGCTCCTCTCTCCCCAGGGGTAGCAGCTCCTCTCTCCCCAGGGGTAACAGCTCCTCTCTCCCCAGGGGTAGCAGCTCCTCTCTCCCCAGGGGTAACAGCTCCTCTCTCCCCAGGGGTAAAAGCTCCTCTCTCCCCAGGGGGTAACAGCTTCTCTCTCCCCAGGAAGGTAACAGCTTCTCTCTCCCCAGGGGTAACATCTCCTCTCTCCCCAGGGGTAGCAGCTCCTCTTTCCCCAGGGGTAACAGCTCCTCTCTCTCCAGGAGTGGCAGCTCCTATCTACCCTAGGATTTGAAGACATCGGTGGCTTAGCCCACAGCCAGTAGGAGTGTCCGGGAAGGAATTTCAACAGCTAAATCCATGAATACATCACCAGTGTATTGCCAAAATCCACTCAAGAACTTCAAACATAGACTCTGACCTGTCCAATAGGCCAAAACTGATTAAAGAATCCCACAGTACCTAAACACCCACCCCTCTCTCTCTCTCTCTCTCTCTCTCTCTCTCTCTCTCTCTCTCTCTCTCCTCTCTCTCTCTCTCTCTCTCTCTCTCTCTCTCTCTCCTCTCTCTCTCTCTCTCTCCTCTCTCTCTCTCTCTCTCCTCTCTCTCTCTCTCTCTCTCTCTCTCTCTCTCTCTCTCTCTCTCTCTCTCTCTCTCTCACACACACACACACAGTGCAGTAATTAGAATCCCTATATCAGCTTTAAGTGATAGTCTACTGTGTGTTCTCCCCTCCTCTGTCTCTCTCCATCAATTTCTCTGTATCGTCTATTGACGTCTCTCATCTTGTCTGGTGTCTCTCTCCATCATATCATATTCTTCTGTTGCTGTCTCTGTGTCTTGTCTGGTGTCTCTCTCCATCATATCCTATTCTTCTGTTGCTGTCTCTGTGTCTTGTCTGGTGTCTCTCTCCATCATATCCTATTCTTCTGTTGCTGTCTCTGTGTCTTGTCTGGTGTCTCTCTCCATCATATCATATTCTTCTGTTGCTGTCTCTGTGTCTTGTCTGGTGTCTCTCTCCATCATATCCTATTCTTCTGTTGCTGTCTCTGTGTCTTGTCTGGTGTCTCTCTCCATCATATCATATTCTTCTGTTGCTGTCTCTGTGTCTTGTCTGGTGTCTCTCTCCATCATATCCTATTCTTCTGTTGCTGTCTCTGTGTCTTGTCTGGTGTCTCTCTCCATCATATCCAATTCTTCTGTGACTGTCTCTGTGTCTTGTCTGGTGTCTCTCTCCATCATATCATATTCTTCTGTTGCTGTCTCTGTGTCTTGTCTGGTGTCTCTCTCCATCAACAGAAATATTGGTGAGGGTTAGGCCTACATCAATACAACATTGGAAACATGATAACACGACTACATAACACCATTAAATACAGTTTGAATGTAGTTACAACTCTCAAACTGTTTCCATCAAACAGAAAAACAACAAGAAAGCTGGATAAACACATTTAGATTTCTACATACTGCACTTTGCTTCTGCATTACCCATACAGCTGTTTAAGGTCATACAAAGGCAGAGTGCAGTATCAGCATTTAAGGGGTCATAGGTCAGATCAGTGGTCATGGTTCATATGCATGGACAAAATAAACAACTTTAAAGCCATTTTTCTCAGATTCACTGTTTGTGTAGACTGCTCTTTGCCTTTGTAGGGCAGTAGTTCAGGTGTCTTCCCTTGCCCTTAGTCTGCCTCCTGTCCCTCCTATCGCCATGGAGACACCTTCCTGAAAACAATGACTCCATACTTTGCTGAAACCTGTTCTGCCAGTTCATGTCCTTAAAGATGAATGTTGGAATGTCCCAATGTGGTTACCCAAAAAGATGACAAGACAGATCACACATCCATAACTTGTTTCCTGCTTGTAGCAGGCCGCGTTTACAGGAATCCTTTTCGCTAACTATGAGTAATATGATTTCATGAGAATATTTTTCTGGAGTGAGAGTGTAATGCAAGTCAAGGTGTCCTTGGATGAATGTCAACAAGATTTATAACTAGCATTGTTAAATTAACTGTTGTAATAAATAAATACAATATTTGTCAATGTATTGTCACAGACACTGGATAGATGCAGTGAAATGTGTTGTTTTACAGGGTCAGCCATAGTAGTACGGCGCTCCTGGAGCAAATCAGGTGTAAGTGCCTTGCTTAAGGGCATAGACAGATTTTAACCTTGACGGCTCAGGTATTCGAACCAGCAACCTTTCAGTTACTGGCCCCACTAGGTAATCTTACCATACCATACCAGTTCACGCCCTAAAAGAAGACACTGTTCAAGTGTTCAAATGTAGTCCATGAAGAGGTATTAGGATTATGTGAACAGCTATTCTGCCGTACAATTGCAAACTGCTGCTACACATTTGGTCAAAAATGAGTTCAGACCTACAGTGGGGGAAAAACGTATTTAGTCAGCCACCAATTGTGCAAGTTCTCCCACTTAAAAAGATGAGAGAGGCATGTAATTTTCATCATAGGTACACGTCAACTATGACAGACAAAATGAGATTTTTTTTTCTCCAGAAAATAACATTGTAGGATTTTTAATGAATTTATTTGCAAATTATGGTGGAAAATAAGTATTTGGTCAATAAAAAAAGTTTCTCAATACTTTGTTATATACCCTTTGTTGGCAATGACACAGGTCAAACGTTTTCTGTACCAAACTTCACAAGTTCACCCGTGCTGTAGGCCCTTCCCATGCA